TCTGTTCAGAAGTTGCATGCATTTAGATTTCACGTATCGAGAATTTCGATTGACTGTTTCACAAATTTTTACGAGTTCGATAATTTTCCATTTACGAGTCATACACGATCTTAGAAATCGAGAATTCGTTTGACAAGTTGCACGATTTCAGTTTACGAGAATTTTTGTTAAAATTGTTTAACAGTCGCTTTCCTTCTCTATTCAACGTTTCGTTGTTCCGTCGCCGTCAGTTCTTGCGGTATTGTCGTTATGGCAACGTGTCAAATGGACGGTTAGAGAACCTTTATCTTCCATTTTGCTTTAACGTCGCATCGACAGCGGGGTCATTAGCGACGATGGCGCCATTAGATATGTGTGTAGTAGTTTATGTTTTTAAGATACTTTCATACTTTTTCTATGTCATTTTGAGAAGTCAGGTTTATGTTAGAGAACCGTCTGTAGTACTATCGACAAATAGAAAACTGAAGACAGTACGTTGCTTCAGAGAACAGATCACGGGACGGAATGTCCCGTCGTTCGGTTGATTGGCCGTTGAACCGTTGAATAATTAATGGGAATTAACAACGGCCATTTAATGGCTAATAGTCACGGTGATGTTCGTAACGAGCAGAGACGAGGGAAAGATTCGTATCGGCGCACGGAAAGTTGCATAATTCCCTCGCCGAGAATGGTCACGAGAAACACCGATCTAATCGGCGAGATGACCGTCCGACTAAAAATTCTAATTCCACTTGGACGACAGAGGACGCGCGCGCGCCGCCGCGTTGATTTGCGTTCCGTGAGGGCCGAAGTTGCTGTCGCGGCACACACACACACGCTCCCGTGAAACGATCGACCGAGGCAATTAATAACGAATTTATCCGCGGTGATAAGCTGGTCCGCGGCACGACGCCTCGCGAGCGTGTATCTCGTTGATTCGACCGACCGGCAATAAAGCACCATTAACACCGCTCCGGCGTTTTTCCCGAAGCGGAGAGCGCTGAATTATAAAGTCACCCCAGTCGTGGAGAACCTAGATCGGACGCCCGCGATATGTATTTCTTGCCCCCCCTGTGATCCTCCGCTCCTGTCCTACCATCTGCTCGATATAAGCCTAGCTCTTTCCCCCCGCCGGGTCTCTTCGTTCGATCGTTTATTCATAGAGTGGCGAGAGGACACAGAAGTTGAGCCGTAGCTGCGTATATTGCCAGTGTTTAGGCATTTATGAAGTATTGAAAGATGATGAAATAAAACGCGAACGTGGTGGCGACAGTGAGTAGAGGAAAGTAAGAGTAAAATCGGGTACCCTCATGTATTTAGCTTCGTAGCGAAAAATCGGATGGCCAAGGAAAAAGAAAAAAAAAAAAAAATAGAAAAATTCGCTAAATCTCTTAATTGGACAATAAGAAAACGACCAAACTTTTTGAAGGAAATTGCGTGGCTGCAATTGGGATAATAAAATACCCGGTTTGCCCCATAAGGTTGAGTAAAATTTAGGGTACCTATTAATACAGTGATACAATTTTTATTTTTGCTAGTTACTTTTAGCAATTTTAACAAATACGAAGTTATTCTATTTGGCCTGTCTTGTGAAATAGTTTAGGAACTTTTATTCTGTTTATAAAAAGTTTGAATCATTTTGTGCATACATATAATTCAACTTTTGTTGCATTTTATATTATATTATGTACATCGTAATTAATAGAACAAAAATCGCAAATAAAATATTCGTCGTCCTCTTCAACATTCGTTGCATTAATTGACTAAACATTGAACATTTATAGACTTCAGTATGAGATAGAATGATGGAAAACGTGTGAAAAGAATCTATTAGAATACAAATGGATCGACCGAATGTGAAAACACTAAGAAACAATTACTTCGCTCACGAAACATACAAACTGTTCAAGCCAAAATTGTGCGGAACACTACGATGTTGTTCTGAAACTTGTCACACATGTTGTCATAGCTCGATTACGTATCGCTCTTATTTGAGAAAAACCATGGTACCCGATGGACCCTAAAAAGAATTTCTGTTTCGATCTCAAATATCGTCAAAAATTTGCGCGAGAATCTACTTATAGTGGATCTATAAAACGAGTCTTTATTTTTACGTTTTCCTCGAGGAATTAATGAAAACACGCCAAGAATGACAAAGGCGAATTGAAATTTGGAGAATTCGAATCCAGCGTCGGACGACCGATCAACGTATTCATTTTCCAATCTCCCCGTAAATCGACATTGACGAGCTTCCCGTTTGTATAATATTATTGGGTGCACGCGTGGGTGCGGAAAGAACGGAGAGTGGCAGAGAGTCGGAACCTGCGATATCAAGCGGGGCAGAACCGGTGCAATAACGGTGATTAAGCTTTATCGCGGCCGTTTCAACGGACTATTTATCTGTCGGCCGCGAAATTACGCGCTGTAAAGACATAATAGGAACGTGATCCAATATTGTCGTTTGTCCACGGTGGGCGCCCGCGCGGCGTGGAACCGGCCCCGCAAAAAACTACCGGTTATTAATCGGGAATTTAGCACTTTTATGTGTTCCACCGGCGGGTACGACTTCATTTCGCCACCGGATCTCAACGAGAATCGCGACAACGAAATATTTTCGATTCGACTCGTTCCCGAATCGACTCTGTCTCTCTTTGGCCAATGTCTGTGGCGCCAAATGTATGGAACTCCATTTGTCAAATTTGTCAAAAGAGTCCGTAGAGTAAAAACGTTTTGTTAATTTGACGAGCTAGGAAGTTGAAATTCCACTTGATCGTCTTTGGCAAAAAGTGACTCGATTCGCCTCTCGCCGTTGCTTTATCTCTTCAATTTCGATCCAATCGTAGAGTCTCGAATTTACTTATAACAAAGACAATCACCAAATCGCTTTCAATCTTTCAACAAGCCTGAGGAAGTAAAATATTCCAACAAATTCTGCTCTCGAACGGATCTTTCCACTCGGAGAGGACACGGAAAGACTCTCGTTAGACCAACAACGAGAATCACTTTCGAATAGAGAGCTCGGACGAGAGCGCACGCGAAAGTGCGTGCGTCGATTGCAAAATGAAGGAAAGAGCAACAAAAGAGGAAGAAGAAGAAACAGAGGGGAAAAGAAGGTAGATCCGTGAGAAATTCGTGGCATTCCCATTAGCCGTTGGTCCCGAGGTTGCGCAGCAGCGGACTATTAAAATACAATAGGGTAGCAGAGCGCGACGTGTTCGCGCGCCGGTGTTCGTGTTATCCCTCGATTTTTTTCTAACACAATGCCTATCGAGACGGCGGGCAGCAATAATTTTCAGATCCGCGCGCCGGTAACAACGCGGAGGTGCAGTAAAGGGACAAGTTTCGCGAGCGGGAAGCGCCTGGAAAACAGAAAACCGATCTAATAGGGCTCGCGATTATTTACCAAGGTTTGCATAAGAATACGACAACTGAATGACCTATAGGAAATTGTTGTTACGCGCGCGTAGAAAAGCCGCGAGAAATAGCGTCGGGTTGCGTATCGCGGTTGATTTATGGGGCAGAGAGCAGCTTATTTCTGCCGGTGCTTAACAATTGTTTCCTGACAATGAGCGTATATCAGATATGAGTGACACGAAGAAACGTTTTCTACCATTCATCAAGCTGGCACTCGCGCTGGCGAGTAAAGTAATTACACGTTTTCCTGTGTCGTTTGAAAGGGCCATCCATCTGCGCGAAACCGGGGAAACAATTCCGCCGGGGGGGAGGTGGATGAGGGGTGAGGGAGGTGGGAAGACGTCGGAGCCCGCGGCTAAATAAATCTCTAATTAGCCCCCTTCGCTAAGAGGAAGCTCGATTTCGTACCGGGGAGAAGTGGCGCGTCGCGCCTCGCCACGGTTGAAAAGCCGCTTCGTTGAATATTCAGGAATAAGAGGATCGATCGAGCCGAGGATCCTCGGACTACGGGATGGTAATTTTTACGTGAAATCACACGTCTTGTTGTGCTAATTAAACGTACATCTTAATCGAGCACCGGTGTATATACAGTAAAATATAGACGAAGCTCGTAACGGCGTGTTACACCGTGAGAGTGTCTACTACCGTCTTTTCTCTCTCTTTCTTTTTTTCTTTTTCTTTTTCTTTTTGCCCCGCTGCATGTTTCGTGGTTCGATGAATTATTAATATCTCAATTAAAATCGGCGCTCTCTTCCACTCGAGGAGAGGAATATTACTCATTCCGGCGTCCTATCGTCACGAACACGACGTTTTTCTGTCGTGAGCATCGCTGGGATAATTAGCTAAACCGTCGATGCCGAGAGGAAAAGATGTAATCTAAATAAAATCGTCGAAATCGTGACAGAGCGGTTATATCCCGCTGCCGCTTCGTAACCGTTTCGTTTGCGTAACCGTCGATTTCTTTCGAACCTATCCGACAGCAAATATATAAATTTCTTTTTCTGTACCGTTCGAATCTCACGAATCGAGTCGATGAACTTTGAGTCGTCTCTAATGAGAAATTCCGTTATAACGGAGCGATCGCTCTGATCAACGTGCCTCTATCCATTAGTCGTTTAATCGTTTAATCGAGCGTTCCTCTCGCGGGGGAAATCGCTCGAACGTCAAACGCGCGCAGCCGAACGAGAATACGAGCCGGGAGATATAAATTCACCAGCTCCGGGGATCACGAAGCGCGAGAGCGCAGGAAATAAAATCGCTGGATTACACGCCGTTTCTTGACTGACCTTTTCCTAACTTAACCGTCTCCCGATAGAAATTTATCGGGAAACCGATCCGACCTATCGTCTCGATTCGCAGGGACCATTGCGCAACGCGAGACCATTTTCAACTCTCATAAGTTGAGAAAAATGTCACGACGAAGGAGAAGGAGGTAACTCGACGATATTTTTGCTAATAGCTCCCCGTCCTTCTGTTATCTGCCATCTGCATACCACAGACAGTAGAAAAACGACCGTCGTTGGAAAAGACAAGTCGGTCGTGGCCACGTTCATGGGTTCACCGGTTGAATTGAACGAGAATCGCAAGAACAGCAGAGTGGAACTCACCGGAGGAAGGTCGATCCGAGTATCTGGTGCAGTAGACCCAGGCAGGCCACGGTAACTGCTTGCCGGGATTGGTCCCAGGTGGTCCGGGCGTGTTCGAGGCTGGATTCCCGGTCGTCACACCGCCGCCGGACGTGGCGTTGGTCGTCGAGCTCGTTTCCGAGCTGCTCTTCTCCGTGGCGGTCTCGGTGGCCGACTCGAGGAAATCCTTGGTCAGGTCGATGGGCCTCGAGCTGACCTTCTTCGGCCGAGATTTCTTCAACGAAATCGGGTCGGTGATCCTTCTGCCAAAGTCCGCCTTTAGTATGTTGTCTATGCTGAACTTCAAGCCAGCCTGATGCTGCAGATTATTGTTGTTGTTGTTGTTGTTGTTATTGTTGTTGTTGTTGTTACTATGGTTGTTGTGATGATGATTGGTGTTATTGACACCGTTATTCTGAACGCCGTTGGCGCCGTGCATCGTTCTGCCGTTCTCGTCTCTGGCCCCGGGTGAGGCAGGGCTGCCAGGCTCCCTCTGAAGGATCTTGCTGACCGAGAGTCGATGCTGATGCACCGAGTTGGCCGGTACGTGTTGCACCTGGGACGTTTGATGAAGGTGAAGGTGGCTGTTCACGTGGTGCAAATGCTGGCCAGGATGAGGCATCAGCGAGGCCGTCTCACGTGGATCTCTGCAGGCGGTTGGATGGAGGACAGGGGTGGTCGCTTGCAAGCCGGTGACCGTCATAGCCGACGGTGGTGACAACGACAGTCTGGTCACTAGAGGAACGCTGATCGGAGTCCGATGAAGCCTCTCGACGGTCGGGTAGACGATCTCGTGGCTCAGGCTGTGCTGAACTCGAGCCGGATAATCGGGTATCTCGGTCTCCCTCGACGAATATCGTGGTAGCAAGTGCGCGGGATGATTCGACTGATACCTGGGCACTATGACGTCTTGAATGGCCTCGGGCCGACCCGGGGACGAGGCAGTGGCCGAAGAGGAAGCCGGTGACCTGACGGAGGAGGCCGTAGGCGACGGTGGTTGACTGTAGGCCGGTGGACTCGGCGCCGAGATGTGATTAACGGTTCGCTGATAGAACGCGTCGTTGCAGCTCGTCGAACTGGAAGGAGACGGCGTCGCCGATGTCCTCGTGTTCTCCTCGTCGCGAAAGTCGCCGCGACTGCTCGCCGACTCGTGGTCGTACCTGACCGAGTCGCAACCACGGATTCCAACGACGCTGGTGGGCGTCGGTTCGCTACCGACGCTCAACACCTCGCTGGTGTCGCTCTCGCAATCGCTGTCAGGATTGTTGCCGTCACTTCCTCGTGTCTGATCCCGTTTCTCGGAGTCCTCGGGCTCCGATCGGGTCGCCGCGCGATTCTGTCTGATCTCGTGGAGATCGTTCGACTCTAAACCGATGGACGATTCCGGTGGCGTGCTCGACATGATTCTTTCTCTCTCGTTTCTTCTTTCTCTTTTTCTCTTTTTTCAAATTTCTTCCCTTCCTCGGCAAGATCTCGTCTCCTCGGCGTTCTTTCGCCGAATCGATCGGCACGAAGAAAGCTAAATCCTGTCGCTTCTTCGAGTCTTCGACCTCGTCATGACGAGTGCTCAGGGACTCTTTTCGCTTTCGCTTTGTCTCTCAATCTACTCGACAAGGTCAGACGAGCGTTGTCGGTGATCGTTCGACGTACCTACCTAACGGATTCCATCCGCTGCGAGTTGCCTGGAGGGACCATCGTCTTGGCACTGGGCACCTGTCCGATCATTGGCTGTCTGTAGATCGTCGACAAGCAAACCCCGACGTCTCAATCGCATAGTGTCTCTGAATTCTATCTGTGTCTCGATACACACGCACACACACACACTTCCCGGCGGCGAGAACTTGGAAATTCTTTCGCGCGCTACTCCGATTCGAGCACAGAGTACTCTTCCCCCGGTTTCTTTGCCGACGGACACTGTTCAGGCCAGTTCATGACCAGGTTTGCCACGACCAGGTACGAGATTATCTCTCATCTTCCCCCGATAACCGGTCTCACCGAACCGAACACACACTAAGAACCAGTCCGCCCGAGTCGCCAGCTCATTACTTCGGATAGTCCAAACGACAACGAACCGTGTCGTCCTTGCCGATGTTCCTCGTCATCACTAACCTCTCGTCCCGCCTCGAAATCTTCTCGACAGGCCCATAATCCATCGCACTCTCACTTTTTTGCATTCACCGTTGTTACACGTTCGCTGGTCTTTTCCAAGCTTGATTGGACGCTGACCAGGACCACCGATCCAGATCCAGATCCAGATCCAGTTCCAGCCCCAGCCCCGTGACGACGAACGGAACCGTGCGAACGCGCACGAAACGACGCGCACGGCAACAGTCGACGAGCAGCAACAGAAAAATCAACAAACAGGCGAGAACCGGCGGCCAGCGATATTCGGAGCGGAGACCGGAAGAAGCGACGAAGAAGACGAAGGATGAGGGGATCCGTTCGGTGGAAACGTGTTCGGCGTGGAGTTGGTTACAACACACACGGTGGCTAGGTAGAGACGCGGGTTTCAACGGAACGGTTGTGCGACGCTGTGGATCGAGGCCGGGCTGGTTGTCCAGTTGGTTGCCGCGAAGCGTCTGCGGCGAGGAAGCGGCGGGAGGGTCGACGATGGGCGTTTCTGGGCGTCGATTCCACGACCGCTACGCCCCTGAGTTGACCTCTTCAGGGGTGAAGACCCTGTCTAGGGGCGCGACCACTCGACATCTGCCGGCCGCCGCGAGAACTCGCTATCGTGGTACGCCCAGCTTTCCACCACTCCGTGAAAGCAACTGCTGATAGGCAACTCAGAACCCGGGTTCCCCTCTTCAACTACTGTCTCTCCTTCTTCCTCACGTTCCAACACCTTTCTCGACCGTCTCGGTCGCTCTTTCCACCGCACATCGAACCTCCGCGCTGCACATCGTGTCCCCACTTACCGCACGTACTATGTAGCTCGCACAGTCGCGAACCTCTCTCCGGTCTCTCTTCTGGTCTCGTTTCGTGTTTATCCGTAGGTACCCTGTCTCGACCTCTCCTTCTCTCGCTCGCTCGCTCTCTCTCTCTTCATCAAGCAGTTTCAAGCACTTCTTCCTACTTCCACCTGGACGAAACCGTTCTCCGTTTTACTTCTTCTCCGGCTCCTTTATCTGCCCGTCCGGTGATCCAGTACGCTGCCCCTGTTCGCTTGTCCTTTTTAGTCGGACGGTGTTCGTCTTCTTCCTGCTCGCGGTCGATTTATCCCCTCCAGACATTATCGCGTTTGGCTTTCCAGATTGTCTTCGTCTCTCAACCCCCCCCCCCCACCCTCCCCTTCCGCTCCACCCCGCTTGGCTTTAACCCTTCTCGTTTTATCTCGCTCCACCACCGTCCGCTCCCCCCCTCCCCGCCCTCCCGGCAAACCGTTCTCTGCCTTTCCGTTCCTTCTGATTCCTCTATCTGCTCTTAGATGATCCGGCTCTTAGCTCTCCTACCACGTTTAAGCTTCTCTTAAACTCCCGCGGGGGTTCCTTCTCCTTACAGCTCGTTTATTTTTCCCTTTTCGCTTCGACACTCACCAATCCTCCNTCTCTCTCTCTCTCTCTCTCTCTCTCTCTCTCTCTCTCTCTCTCTCTCTCTCTCTCTCTCTCTCTCTCTCTCTGTCTCTCTGTCTCGCGCGCGAATCAAGAGTCTGTCCTCGCCAATTTGAATCCCTAGCTCCTTCGTCTGGTCCCTCTTTTCTATTCCAGAGTTCTCTTCTTTTTTTCTTTCTGTTCTCTTTCTCTCTGTATCTCTGTTATTGCTGCGACGAACTCTGTCGCAGCAAGCTCGCAGGTCCCTAGGGTGTTCGCTTGTTGCCTCTGCGAAAGTTAGAGACAAAGCGTTGATTCCGTGGAAAAACGTTTTCCAATCGCTGGATAAATCAATCGCGGCGCAACCGCAACAACATATGCTCGCCGCTATTACCCTGATACACCGTTGTAACAATGCCCATTCGAGACGTTGCACTGAGCCTATCTGTCCAATTTCACCTTTCGCGGGGAAAGAAGGGGGATTAAGAGCCTCGAACGGCTCTCGCGTGCATTATTAATCGAGCTCGGATGGGCGTAAATTTTTTTCTTTCAATTTCTCCTTTCTTTTCTTCTTTATTTTTATTTTTATTTTTATCTTCTTTTTTTTTGGAGCAGTTCCTCATCACTCTCACATATTTATGCATATTTAAACGGAAGGGAATCGAGGAACGACGTAGGCGAATTTCGACGTGGTTGAACACGTTCCAGTGACAAAGCACTCGAAGGATCGTGCGATTCGGTTTAAATTGGAATTTGCAGGTAGCATCGCGTATGTATCTATCGCTTCGCTTTAACCTCTCGCGCTAGGTAACTGATTCGCGGACCATAACGAGTGACCAAACCGTATACAATAATTCGTCTTCTTTTTTTTGTACTCGTCGGTACACCGCTGGATAGAAATTACCGAGAAGTGAATAAATTTATTGTTCGTTTCGTCTGGGTTATACTCCGATGTACTTACAACTGAGAAAATATTGTAATTTTGGGCCAGATATTCTCGACGTGCGTGGCATGTCATTTCGGCGCAAGAGGTTAATAAGTATTCCAAGTAACCTAGCGCATCTACGCTCGTGAAGACATACCGATATCACCCGATTAGATACAAAAATCTGAGTACGCTCGTTGAATTCGAAATTGACTGCAAAATTCGACGCGATAAAGAAATTATTATCATTACTAAGAGATTATTATAACTAACTGTCAAATTCAACTCGATCCTGTTACGTTCCGATAGAAATTTCAACAGTTTCAGGAAGCTAAAAGGTAAAATTATTATTACTCCCACATTGCCGCTGTTTTTCGCGAATGAAATCCTCGGAAAGAGGAGGAAGGTGCGTAATATACGCCAACGTGCGAGGAAGGCGAGATTTGCACGAGGGTTTAACGAAGCAAAAATTGTAGAACGGTGAAGGCGACGATCGTGGGGGAAGGAAAGAGAGCGGAAGAGCGAGAGATGCGGAGGAGGCGTTCGCAGAGAGAAAGGGACGTTAGCTCCGCGAATATCGATTCACCCCGCGCCGGTTTTTCCTCCGCGATGGAGAACGGGTGGCGTGCATGCGCGCCGTGTATCACGTATTCATTTTTCGTCGGGTTCGTGAGGAGCTTGGGTGCGCGTCAACGTGCTCTCGGGGGCGATCGTTAAGCCTCATTATGGGCCGATCTTTCAGCGGATAGGAGGCAGAGCGGAAGAAAGAGAGAGAAAGAGAGGAAAAAGAAAAAAAGGGGGTGGAAAAAATGTCAGCTCGTAAATCGTCGGTCGGGTGAAGTTTGAGCGCGTCAACATCGATCCCGTGACACCTAACTTCTTTTTTTGCGCCAATTTTCATAAACTAAGAGTGTACGCTCTTTTCTACAAGATAAAAGAGAGAGAGAGAGAGAAAGTTTGAGTTGAGATTATCTGAGGAAAACAGTAGCAAAGATCTAATGATGGATCCAGATGGTTCGCGGAGATAACATTAAAATGATAGGTTTCTTTTAATCATTGAATGTACTATTTGTACTAATTTTCGATAGAAACGTGATTAGACACATAATCGATGATTACATGTGTAATATAATTTTAACGTTAGATGAATGATTATATATATATATATATATATATATATACATGTAATAATGGATCCAGCTCGCAGAGATGTGTAGATACTATTGTCAAAATGGTAGGTTTTACATTTTTGGTTTCTTCTTTCAATTGTTGAATATACCTGTACTAATTTTCGTCGATAGAAACGTGATTAGATACACAATGTATTAATATTGACGATATTAGATGTATAATATGTTTTATTCTACGTATTGATGCATTTATATTCTCATAATATTCTAATACTCTAATGTCTCAGTTGGATGTTACGAGTTAATACAAGTTTCTTGTAGAAATTTAATAATTAGTACAAGAGACGACGAATCGATACAATTGTAAATGTTAGAACAAGTCGATGATCGTCAGTCACTTGCAAAAATTTTCTCACATCTCTACAGGAATGTTCAACACTAGAACTACCGACGATTAAAACATAAAATTTCCATCAGAGACGATTGCCCATAAAATTTCCATCGAAGTCCAAGGAATAGAGAAACTCTCTAACACGATGCGTTTATATATTTTACCGAAACTTATTTAAATGCTTAAAAGTACACTGTTTTACGGCTGTAAAATGCCTGTAAAACAAAAATTATATGATTCGATAAATGGTCATTCCGACCATTTTGATAGTTTCAGTGTTGGGAAATTAAATAGAAATGGTTTCTTCTTTACAGAAAGTTTCCTCGTTTCTTATTGTCGATGAAGCAACAGACGTACGTCATCTCTCTCGTCGCGAAGATTACGTTTCCATCGGATTATACATTTGAAATTGCTCGTTAAAGGAGTCCTATTGCGCGCTGCAGTATCGATTCTCTCCCCCTCCCCCCCCCCCTTTGGCCACACTCGCGAAAATAAAATTTATCACCGAGTAATTCCCGATTCACGACACGCTTTTTCCACGCGAAGAGAACGCGGAAACCTATGCTAATCCGATCGAATCCTACCGGGATGGTATCTGTCGGACGTGTTGGCAAAGGCGCGTGCAAAAGCCTTTTACGGCTTCTCCCGATGGAAATTGTCATTTATGGAGATGAAAGAGTGGGAGTCGCATTGACCGAGCATGCTTATTGTTAGCAAATCTACTCGCGTAAATGGACCGATCGTAATGGATGTGTTTTGTACGTAGGATAAAGTAGATCGGAGAGATCGTTTGACAAATTCTCGAATAATTAACTTTAATTAATTGGAATTAATTTATTAATCTTGCTGATCAGAATGGAGTTAGTGATCCGAGGAATTCCAAAGTCTCTGAACGGAATGATCGAACTTATTACGTGTTCAACGGTAGAAATGACCAATCTTGTTAGAAATTTTTTGTGCATGTTTAGAGATTTAAATGATACTTTAAAAATATGCAAATGAAAGCTTGTTATTGTCGTTATAAAGCTTTCCTATTTTTTCTTCACTTTAATGTCTCTGATGGAAAATTTTATGTTTCCAGTGTTAACGTAACGCGGACGTGACTTTCAACGTGCAAAACGGATCGAAAGAATTAAAATTCGGGAGGGAATGTCTATTTTTCGTTCGGGCAAAGACGATCGAAATTACTATTTTACTGTTCTCACTGTTAACAAGCCTGTATGCACGTGTGTTAGTATTTCTTGGACGCAGTAGATGACGAGTCGAATTCCG